TGGGTAAGGAGCTCATCCTACTCCCTTCAGCAAAACTCCACAGGAGCCAGCCACCACTGGGACTTGTCCCCTCCCTTCCTCCCTAGCCCTTCAGCCTAGTCCAGGAAGATACAGGGGAATTGCACGAGTTTCCTCTTCCAGTTTGGACCTGTGCCAAAGAAGACACCAAAGAAGAACAGGAGTAGACAGTTGGACAGATTTATTAAGAACTGAAGTGATTTATCCCCTTTAATGTGCTCCACTGCCTGCCCCCGGCACCAGCAGGGAGGGGGCCATGGTACCAGACCAGGACCTGCTTCTTGGGCTCAGATTGTCACTGTCCGGAGAGCCGGGTCTCCCCTGGGGATTGTATCTGCCACAGGTCCTCCTGGGGCAGAGCCAGTCAGTATGTGCAGTGTCACCCCGGGACAGCTACAGCATCCATGTGCCTGAGTGCACCACTCCAATATCCTCACACACACACATTCACCCACACCTTTTTTTTTCCCTGCAGGACAGCTGCCCACCTTAGCCAGCCCAATGACTGCAGGAGAGAGCTTTCCTGTACCCCTGGGCAAGGTACCAGCTGCAGGCTTTCAGAGTCCCAAGTGCACAGAGATGGGGGGCTTTGAGCTTGGTGCTCATGTGGACTCCTCAGGCTCAGTCTAGAGCAGAAATAAATTTTCCATGAGGAAAAGGACGACACTGCTCACTGGGTCAATTGTTCCTAAATAGCACGTCAGGAAAATAACAGGAGGAAGTGGAAAAGCCTCTTTCCCCAAAAAGATTTTTAAAAATTCTGCTTGGTAGAATGATGTTGGACTACATTCCACCTTCCTTCTGGGGAGGCTAACAGCTCATCCAACTAGTGCATCTCCAAAAACAGCTTTTCTCCCACAGTCCCTGGTTAAAGCTCACTCAACTCTAGAAATTTTGGTTTGGGGGCAACCAGACCACCCTCATCAAGTTTTTGGTTGCCAGTGTTTGTTGCTTAGGGTTAAGGACTATTTGAGGACTGCACTTCTTCACTGAACTGTTTTCTCAGCCTCTGCACCAGCTACAGGAAGCATCACAATGCCTTCAAAAGGTGGGACACTGGCCACAGGTGGACAAAAGACTGTCCAGGATTGTCGAGGATTTGGTTCAGGAATGGTTAGCAGAAAAGGGACATAGCAAGATCAATTTATTGGAGCTGCAGACTCTGCAGATTAGAGACCCTGCAGACTAAGCAGTAGCAGCTTACTAAAACAAAGGCAGTCTTCTGTTAGAACAAAGACAGCTTCAAAAGCAGGGTACCCTTGAGATAAGGAAGCCTGGATGAAACTGGTATGAAACTGGTAACGGCACGTAGAAGCAGGGACTTTGCATTACACGATACCCACAAAAATGTAGAAGTAGATACATAAAATCCTGTTGATGTAAGAATGGTACAGCAATAATAAACCAATAAGGAGCTTGGCTTTTGCAATATGTATGAACTAATTAAGAACTGTATTTAAGCAGCTGATGTATACCAAATAAACTGAGTTTGCAGATGATCAATCGATGTCTGCTTCTCCCTTCTCCGACAAAATGGTGACCCCGATGTGTGGACCGACGTGCGGACCGACGTGCGCTCCCTGACGAAAACGGGGGAGATTGGACGTGCCATCGGCCGGAGAAGTAGGGTTGGGCTCCGTTGCGGCCGCGGAGTGGTGCATGCGAGGAAATTTCAGCAGGAACGCACCCCCAGTGTTCATACAGGTGGAGCTGGGCCATACGTGCTGCCGGACCTGGAGTGCCGCAACAGCGCTGACTATTAATCATGGACAGGCAAGCAGCATATGATTTATTTATTTATTTCTAGTCTTGAAAAAAGAGGAATTAAGGGGGTAGATTTAAGAAAAGAGTTACCGGGGTTATTAGATTGGGGATATACTAAGGGAGTATTTAGCAATCCGCATGCAGTGCATCAAGTTAGTGAATGGCGTAAGTTAGGAGATATTTTATGGGAAGCAGTGTTAGAGGATGATAAAACAGCTAAAAAGTTAGGTAAAGTGTGGCGCATTGTACAGAATGCTTTGTTGCAGCAATTAGCAGAAAAAAGGGCGGCTGAAGAGGCAATCGCAGCTGCCAAAACAAATACGCTTTATAGTCAGGAGCATGAGCCATTAGCACCTAGTGTATCTACAATTGTATTGCCTGCCCCCGGGCTGGCCGCTAGCCCAGTCGCAGCTGCAGTTCAAAATAGTTTAGAACCGTCTGCACCTCCTTTAAAGGAAACGGAGAGTAGAATACAAGTGCTACCTAAGCCACCGTTTAATGAGTCCCCTTCATCTCCTTCTAATGTGCAGTCAATTAGCAGGCAACCTCCTGTGCCTAATCCTGTCCCTGGGGCACAAAGGCGAAACAAAGGAGGGATGCTTGGAGACAACTTGCAAAGCACGGACTGGAGAGTGGGGATGATGTTTTAGTGGAGGCGGCTGGTGGTAGTAATTTAGCTTTCTCTGTTACCTACTCTCCGGTAGTGGACCAAAATGGACAAGTAACACATCAGTTAGGCACCTATACACCTTTAGATTGGAAGTTACTGGCACAATTGAGACAAACAGTAGCACAGTTTGGCCCGAAAAGTGAGCCAGCTAAGCAGATGATTGACTACATTTTTGATACTATGCTTTTAATACCTAATGACATGCGAGGGATTGTCAAATTAATCTTTACTCAACATCAGCAATTGTTGTTTAATGCGCACTGGCAGGCAGCTGTACAAGAGTCAGTGTCTGTCCAGCGGCAACCTGGGGATCCACTACATGGGATTACCATAGAAGAGATGATGGGATTAGGGTTATATCTCCGAACTGATGCACAAATGACAATAGGAGCAGATAAAGTGAGAGAAGCGATGAGGTTGGTGAGAACGGCTATAGACAGAGTAAAGGATGGTACAGGTGTTCCAATGTACATGGGAATTAAACAGGGCAGAGAGGAATCGTTTGGGAGCTTTATTGACAAAGCCGCGGCAGCAATAGAAAGGGCTGGAGTACCGGAGTACATGAAAGGAGCTTTGTTAAAACAATGCGCATTGCAAAACAGTAATGAAGAAACAAAGAGAGTATTAGCTACCTTGGGGGCTAACTGGACAATAGAAGAGGCATTAGAGCGCATGGCACTACAACCTACAGGACAGCAGGCATTTTTAGTGACTGCTATAAAGGAATTAGGAGTAGGGCTACAGAAACAGGCAGAATCCACTCAGAATCAAGTGTTAGCTGCTCTTGCGCCACTCCGTGTGTCCACCATAGCGCCCGCTGCCGCTAATGACAGTCTGCTTTCATCTTTTAAATGTTATCGATGTGGAAAAGCTGGTCATACGCGAAGGAACTGCCGAGCCACTGGAATTTGGTGTCAAAAATGTCAATCAGGCAATCATAATACCTCAGCTTGTAGACGACGATCGGGAAACGGACCGAGGAGCGCGATCAGCAGCCGCGCCCCGATACAAGTCGCTGCTGCAACATCTGCGCCAGTGCTTTACAACCAGCCACCGCAGGGAGCTTGGGACTCGACCTGGCAGCAACAGTAAATGTCACTCTCATGACCACCCGTCCTGAGAAAATCCCGACTGGCATCAAAGGACCACTTAAAATAAATGGACAAAAATACGGAGCGCTAGTCCTAGGACGTTCGTCAGTAACCATCATGGGACTTTTTATATTACCAGGAGTCATTGACGCAGATTACACTGGAGAAATACAAGTGATGGCACATACACCATTTCCACCTTTAAGTATCAAGAAAGGGCAGCGAATTGCACAATTAGTTCCTCTGCCGCAGATGACAAAAGGCATCAGCCCAAGAAACAATCAACAACGAGGAGATAAAGGTTTTGGATCTTCTGGTATTGTCATGCTATCTGTGGATCTTAACACCAGACCCAAAAAGACAATTCAAATTATTTATGACAATCAATCAATCAATCACTCTTTCAGGTCTGCTTGATACAGGAGCTGATACAAGCATAGTATCCCCAGACAACTGGCCTGCACACTGGCCACAGAAGGCGACTACAGATACGGTAACTGGAGTTGGAGGTTTTACCCTGGCACGAAAAACTCCACTCGTTACTATAGTCATTGATGGTCAACAATTGTCTTGTTGTATTGTTGCCTTACCCTCTGCTGTTCAATGCTTGATTGGAAGAGACATACTGGCTCAATTGGGAGTGGTTTTGTCTAATGAACACCCTTTGGGGTAATTGCCATTGCTTGGACCTTTCCCATCCCACTCACCTGGGTCACAGATACCCCAGTAGTGGTTAAGCAGTGGCCTTTAAAAAGGGAAAGTTTGCAACATGCCCACGAATTAGTAGAGGAACAATATCAGCAGGGACATTTGAAACTGTCTACTAGTCCGTGGAACACTCCTATTTTTGTAATTAAGAAGAAATCAGGCAAATATCGACTGTTACATGATCTCAGAGCTGTCAATGATCAGATGGAAGCCATGGGAGCATTACAACCTGGCCTACCTAATCCTCCCATGTTGCCTCAAGATTGGCCACTACTAATAATTGACTTGAAGGACTGTTTTTTCACTATTGCCCTGCATCCAAATGATACTAAACGTTTTGCATTTACCTTGCCAGCCATAACTGATGGACAGTCCGGAGCGAAGGAGAGCCTATCGCCTACAGAGAAAACTAACACCTCTGCTGAAGGAAGTTGAAAAGGAACTTAATATAAAGTTTTTGTTTGACAGTGTTGAAGAAGTGACTGAATATCTCATCCCAGCATTGCGGGATAAGTTTTTGTGGCCTTATCAGAGTGATTGTATTTCATGTTTTGCTAGAGATCATTTTGCTTGGGTAAAAATTTATTGTGGTAGCTGTAACAAACAGTGGTGGGTTTATCAAACAAACTTTAGTAGGGGACTTTGGTGTCGCAATTGTAGTTTTGATTGGAATAGAGAATCGCCGCAGCAGGCATTAACGGCGATAACAGGAGATAACATCAGAAACAGCCTTGCTAGAATAGAAAATAGAGAAGATTTACAACTTAGGGAGTTAGCTTGGCAAGTACAACATTTTGCAAAAAGGATATTGGCAAATCGACGCTCAGGTATATTAGATGCTCGCTGTAGCCATGATATACACATTCCTACTGCGTGGCAAATTCCTCCCAACCAATGGGAATATCGTTGCCATGAGTTTGCTAGGATTGCTAACCGTCGCCAGCACTACTACCGTAAAACATCCCAACATTAAGTCTTGGTTTCCCCGAAAGAATATGTGGATCTCACTAGCTCAAAAACTGAATAGAACGGACTTTTGTGTGTCCTTAGCCCAGCCAGAATCTCCTTTTCATACCTGTCTTATTGGAGTACCATTGAAAGAAACAGAGTACAACAGCCTAGTCACCCCACAAACAAGGCAACATTGTAAGAACAATATTACCTCTTGCCTTGAGGAATATGACTTATGGGATGATAAACTGCCTTTTAGTGACAAGCCTGATGAATTAGAAATACTAGGTTCACTACATGCTGCTTCATGCATTTATATTAACTCCAGTAGGTATGAGTGCAATGAGGGCAATGTTGCTTGGTGTAAAACAACACTCCCTACAGACGTTTCTCCACAACAGAATGATTGGAAAAATCAATCCTTTTGGTGTTACTCTATCGCTCGAACCAAAACAAATCCAGCTTCAGGCACAATAATTCCTCGCCGCTTGCCAGCTGGAATCTTTTTAATCTGTGGGGACAGAGCATTCAGTGGTATTCCTCAACGGCCCACTGGAGGTCCATGTACGTTTGGACGTCTCACAATAGCACTCCCTAGCCAAAGCACTCTGCTAGGCCTATATAGCAATACCAGCCAGGTAATCACCACACGACGAAAGCGCTCAACCATTGATGCTTCTTGTGATGATAATGTCAACCTGTTTAATCGCGCAAAGCAAGTGGTTGCCTCTATCTTTGTACCTGGTGTTGCTGCAGGACATGCTCTTTTTCAATTAGAAAAATTACAATGCTGGGTTGGTAAGCAAGCTAATGCCACGTCAGAGCTCTTGAGTTTATTAGCTACAGACATAGATACTGTTAGGCACGCTACATTACAAAATCGAGCTGCTATTGATTTTTTGTTGTTAGCTCACGGACATGGGTGTGAAGACTTTGAAGGAATGTGCTGTATGACCTTGAATAATAGTTCTGAGTCCATTCACAAGAAGATTCAGCAGTTACAAAAACATGTTCAGGTCCTACAAAGAGATGATACATTTTTTGGATTGTCATTTGAATCATGGGGTATCACCGGTTGGCTTAAACATCTTCTGCAACTTCTCATAATCGGACTGATAGTTGTTTTGCTTTTAATGCTCATTTTACCATGTGTGTTTCAATGCTTACAAAAATCATTAATATCAGTTTTTGAGCGGAAATGGAACACAGCTTTGCTTGCTGCTAAAGAAAACGGGGGAAGTGTCGAGGATTTGGTTCAGGAATGGTTAGCAGAAAAGGGACATAGCAAGATCAATTTATTGGAGCTGCAGACTCTGCAGATTAGAGACCCTGCAGACTAAGCAGTAGCAGCTTACTTGAACAAAGGCAGTCTTCTGCTAAAACAAAGGCAGTCTTCTGTTAGAACAAAGACAGCTTCAAAAGCAGGGTACCCTTGAGATAAGGAAGCCTGGATGAAACTGGTATGAAACTGGTAACGGCACGTAGAAGCAGGGACTTTGCATTACACGATACCCACAAAAATGTAGAAGTAGATACATAAAATCCTGTTGATGTAAGAATGATACAGCAATAATAAACCAATAAGGAGCTTGGCTTTTGCAATATGTATGAACTAATTAAGAACTGTATTTAAGCAGCTGATGTATACCAAATAAACTGAGTTTGCAGATGATCAATCGATGTCTGCTTCTCCCTTCTCCGACACAGGATCAGGAGGTGTTTTTCCACCAAAGGTATAAATGATGGCCAAGGCAGCCTGGAAACGTCAGAATTTATCTTGCAGCTGAAAAGTACATGTTTTGGGAACTGTTAGGCTTGTTTGTGTAACTGCTGGGAATTTTGGGAAAAGAAAGTACAAGAAAATTCTGCTTCAGGTCAAGGAAAAACAAAAACAGCTTAGTCTGAGTCAATTCCAAAGTACTTTAATCCTTTCAGTTTTGATATCGGATGATGAATGCAAAGGATTGTGACCTAGAGTGGGCTTGGAGAACACAGGAGAAGTTCCAAGAAGAACCTGGAGAACAAGAAGAGACAGCTTGGGGATGAAGAGGTCAGACTAAGGTACCAATGACCCCTGGTGGTTTTCTGTGTCCAGTTTCAGGTACCCGAAAATTTTCTCTCAAGGGAAAGTTGAAGACTTCTGAAAGGTCAGCTCTGCTTGCTGGTTAGACACTTATTTCAGGACATTATTAGGAAAAAGTAAAAACCTCCCTCTGACTATAAGGGAAAAAAATCATCAAAAAACTAAGGTAAGAATTAAAAATATTTACCAGAATAGATGAAAGTATCACACTGAGCAAGCTATTGTCAAAAGAGTAAAAGGGAACAAAGAAACACAAGGTAAACAAAAACAAACCTGCAAACCTGTGAACAAAAAGAAGCCAAAACCAACCATGCAGCTCCTGAGCATAGAAACAACCTGCCAGCTCAGCAAAAAGCAACAGAGCAGAAGCACAGTGAGGACTACAATGAGATTAAAATCCCTTGCACACAGCTGAAAATAAATACAGTATTTGCAACACTTTCCTTATTGACAATAAAGAGAGGAAATGTCACTGCAGAAGTCATGGAGTAATCACAGTGTCAAACTGCAAGAGAGACAAGAGCCATGAGGCTCATCAGCACAGCCTGGTGACGTGCCAGGCACTTATTCTCAGTCTGGTGACACCAGAGTCAGGGGAAGCAGAGGCTGGGCTGACACCAGGCAGGACCTTGCCAGGGAAGGCTGGGCAGTCCAGCCAGAGAGCTTGGGCCCACTCAAAGCAAAAGCAGCAAAAATCCCTTCTCTCTATGCTCAAGCCAAGCATCCTTGCAGAGATTTTTCCCCAGTGCGGCTCTGGAGATAAGCCATGGGGATTGCCGTGGGTATCAGTGGAGGGCTGGGGTGCTCTTCTCTGGCAGAAGCTTTTGGGCACTTTCTTCAGGACTGGATCACAGGCTGCTCTTACATCGCATTTCTGACTTGTTCACTGCTGACTTGTGCACACACCGAGGCCATGTTAATGAGCTGACAGACAGCAGTGATGCCAGCCAGACAATGGAGCAAAATACATGGAAAAATCCATGAAATGTCATAGTAACTGAGGAGAGGAATTCACCACTCCCACCTGCAGTCGGCTCAGAGCTCACCAGAGCGCAGGGAGAAGTGCCACCTTCAGCAGCATCTTCAGGCTGAGGCTGGGGAAAGGCAGGCCACATCCTGGACTGCACCACATCTACTGTTTCCTCCCCAAAAGGAACTGCAGGAGGGATTTACTGCAGGAGGGCTGGGCCAGGTCCTGTCTGGAGCCCTAGGCACAGCCCCAGCCCCATATTGGGTTAAACATGAGGCAGTGACCAGCTAAAGTCACCTGAAGCTCTCCTCTGATTTCCCAACACAGAGTGAAGTGGTTTTGTTACCCTCCCACAGACAAAGCCACTGCTCCCTTCTCTCAGCTGAGGCTTTTGCCTGCCGACGTCCAACAGAAAGCTTTGCTGTGACAAACCCAATGGTTCTCCACTGCCCCTCTCCCTTTAAGTTATTGCAGGACCAGCAGCTGCTCTGACTATCCCAACAGACAGGAGTCTGCAGCCAGTTCTTCTCCTGCAACTGAAGAGCCACAGACTTAAAGGTACTGAACAAGTCTTAGTCACCTTACATATTCATATAGGGCTTTTTAAGGCAGCAAATAACATGTGTAAATTTGCTATCACTTTTTATTCTGTTCTAAAGGAAAAAGTGTTGGTGGGGTGTGTTCTGCCTCTGACAGCTGAACCCTGGACTTTGCCACTGTGGAATGATTGTTAAGCACAGTTTTCAACAAGGTAAGTGAGGGGGTGAGAGTCACTGCAGCAGCCTGGGCAGCTGGGACATCTGCCACAGGGCTCAGCTCATCCCTGCACATGCTCCTCTCCTCCACAGTTCACAGTGTGCCTGCGGTGCAAGGGGCAGACCATTTACCAGCAGGTTTTGTCCATGGAGAGACCCAGCAGCCTGCAGGGCTGGAACTGGGGCTACTGCGGCCACTACGCCTTTTACCATGCCCTGTACCCCCGCGCCTGGCTGGTCTACGAGCTGCCGGGGCAGCAGGTGGTGCTCACCTGCCGGCAGGTCTCTCCCGTCATCCCCCATGACTATAAGGTAAGGCGGTAAGGGCATCCCCGAGGGCAGAGCTGCGTGTCAGTCGGCTTTGCCAGCGTTTGCCCAGGCTTTGCCAGCGTTTGCCCAGGCTTTGCCAGCGTTTGCCCAGGCTTTGCCAGTGTTTCTCCAGGCTTTGCCAGCATTTCGCCGCGGCTGCGCTCGGCAGTGGTCCGGGCAGGGGAAGCCCCACAGCCGTGCGGGAGCTCGGGATTGCAGCAAGGGATGGCTCAGCGCTGCCCGTGCGGCTGGCAGCCCGAGGCGAGGGTGGCAGCTGTGCTGCTGACGCGTCTGACCTTCCTCTTACCCCGGCACAGCACGTGAGCCTGTATCAGCCTGCCGAGCAGATGAGCGATGAGACACCTGGCTGAGCCCTAAAGGCCGCTTTGCGTCTCTCTGCTGCCCGGCGTGCTGGTTGCCAGCCCAGGGCTGCTTCTCTTTGGAATTTTGTCTTGCCTGCCTCCCAGATTCCTCTGCTCCTGCCGCTCGGCTCAGCAGCAGACTCCAAGAGCGAGTTGTTACCGCCAGTGCTCTTGTTCCCGCTGCATCCTGCGTGCTGTCCCCAGCAGCGGGGGAAATGATGCTGGGGCAGCTGCCTGTGGAGCAGCAGCCCTGTAGACAGCATTCTGCGTCTCTGCCAGGACTCCAGCTTGCCAGTGGGAGTGTTCATCTGGGAGGTGGAGAACAGGAGGGATGAGGACGTGGAAGTGTCCATCATGTTCAGCCTGCAGAACGGCATGGGAACGAAAGAAGATGGGAGCGGCGGGCACTGGAACGAGCCCTTCACCTTCCAGAAGGATGGCGAGCGGGTTGCTGGGGTCCTGCTGCACCACTGCCCGGCCGTGAACCCCTTCACCCTGGCCATCTCTGCCCGGGAGAAGGTAAAGGGCTGGCCCTGCTGCCGTGGCTCCTGCTGGGGAGGTTGTGCAGCTCTGCTGCATGTGGGGGAGCTGCCTGCAGCCAGCTGGCCAAGGATGGGGGTGCAAGGGCGTGGGGTTGGCACTGTTTCTCAGCGCTTGCCTGACGCCAGGAGTGGGGACACGACTTCCCTGAGGACACCCTCTCTGGGGATGGTGTCAGGAGAGCAGCTGAGGCAACAAGTTGAGAGTTGCTGGGCAGCACATGAGAAGTGAGTGTGATGTCCTGGTGGTGGTACTGGGGAGGGGAGAGCATTAATCTCCTCCTCTCAAGGAGCAGCCCCTGATGACGCTCTTCCCTTGCTCAGGCTGGCACGGGAGTCACCCATGTTACGGCATTCAATCCCACGGGATTGGGTAGAGAGGTGTGGCAGGACCTCCTGCAGGATGGCAGGCTGGATTCACCCGCTGGTGAGTGCCTCCATCCTTGGTGGGATGGGTGGAGGAGGAGGAGCAGGGGAAGTGGGTGGCCATGGTGGTTTTGGGCACCCAAGCCAGGGCAGAGCTCTTTCCTCCAGCCTCCTTGGCTGTTAAAAATCTCTCCAGGATGTTGTGCCTTGGTCCCAAATGCGGGCTATATCCAAACTTCCCAATTGCTAGTCCTTGCTGTGGTTCTCCAAAAGCTCTTCATACCACTTGCAGACTGTTCTTGATTATTGGATACACATGCCTGTATCTCATTTTTCTGTGTGTGGTTGCACACTGAATTGAGATTTCTGCTAGGGAGCCAGCGTGCTGCCTAGCCCCCTTCCCTTAGTTCCTATTTCCAGATAAATGAGCTGTGTCCTGTCGCAATTGTTACTGCCAGCGTTTAACAGTGCTTGGGGTTAAGTGCTGCTGTCACTTTCTGTCCTCTTCCTACTGCAACAGTCCTCTGAATGTCTCTGGTATTCTTCTGCTAATTCTGCATCCATCCTCAGGTCTCTGCTCACTCCCTTGGGAGGAGCCTTGAAGCAGGGTGGCATCTCCAGCCTTTGGTACTCACCTCCTATTGCCATAAAAGGTGACCATTTCCCTAATGTCTGTCAGTTTTTAAACAAGGATGATGCTGACAAACTAGTGATGCTGAGTCTTTGCAAGTTTTCTTGAGGCTTAAATTATGTTAATGAAATGTTTATTATGTATTTTTTTCCAGAAAAATAAGCTTCCTGCCTAGGTGCACTTAGAGCTCTCCAGGCTATTGGGATGTGGTTTTTCTTCATGCATGCCAGACATTATCATAGTCAGGATCTGTGCTTATGTCGCTCTAATGAGTTTACCTTGTACACATGTCAGAACCAGCATATAATTATCCTGCCACGTCAAGGCTTTTCTTAAATACCAGCATATCTCAAGCACCCTGCAAAAAGCTGGAAACAATGACTGTCCCTAGAAAGTCACAGTGTCTCTGACTGCAGTGCAGATCCAGAGTCATGGGATACTCTGTAGCTTCCAGTCATGCCTGGTGGCTTTTCCTGACTGATCTGTTCCTGTTCTTGGATGACTGAATCCTTTTAACGACTCCTTCCATGGTAGGGTTTTTTTTTTTATCCTGCGGCAACATCATCCCTTAAAGCCCTAGGCTGTACCTTCCAGGTTGTACAGGAGCTTTGGTATGACCATTGTCATCTCCCTCGAGGTGTGTGTGAACTTCAGTTACTCTCCCTCTGGTCTTCCTTGGTTGCTTAAGAATATCTTAATTTTTCCTGGCAGGTAAAAGCAGGCCGACAGAGAAGGGGGAGGTGACAGCAGCAGCAGTGTGTGCCAGCTGTAGGGTGCCTGCCCATGGGCACAAGACGCTAGAGATGGCCCTGGCTTGGGACATGCCCTGTGTCCACTTTGGCTCCAAGGAGAAGCTGCATGTCAGGTAGGTGGGTTGTCTCCAGTGGTGTTTGGCTCGTGTCCCCAAAGTCCCATTTTCCCTCCTCCCTGACCTGTGTACTATGAAGGGACCTTGTGCCAGCCACTCCTTGTGGCTGTGGTTCTGCCAGCTCAGGGAGAGGACCCTGTGTCCAGCCCCTGCTCTTCAATGCCCCTGCAGTAGCAGTTGAGTTCCGCTGTTCTCTGTAGTCCAGTGTCCCTCTGTGGTGTCTGTGTGGGATTCCCAGCTGGAGCCCACGGGGTGCTCACCAAACCCTCATTTGGCAGGCGGTACACCCGGTTTTTTGGCAGCAAAGGTGATGCTGCTCCTACCCTGTCCCATTACGCCCTGACACACTACGAGGAGTGGGAGAGGAAGATTGAAGCATGGCAGAATCCCATCCTGGAGAACAGGTAGGGCAGATGAAAGCACCTTCCCAGTGGCCTCCACAGGAGCATCACCACCCAGCTTCTGAGGGTGAGCTCCCCCTCTTTTCCACAGCCAGCTGCCTGCCTGGTACAAGTCAGCCCTCTTCAATGAGCTCTACTTCATGACGGATGGAGGGACCATCTGGGTGGAGGTGCCCCCTGATTGCTGTGCCGAGGACCTGCAGGGGCCGGCGGGGGCGGGGCTCTCCCACCTCCTCCCTGTCCTGCGGGAGTACGGGAGATTTGCTTATTTGGAAGGTAACTCACAAGGATGTGAGGGATTCTCCCAACCCAAGCCCTCCCATTACTGTAGCGTGTGTTTGTAAACTGCCATGGGGATGTCTTTCACACTCCAGTGTGTAGGGAGCAGTGCAATTGCCAGGAAAACCCCTTGCAGCCCTGAAGGATAGGGCATGGAGTGTTCCCCACATCCCCCGTGCTCTGTGCAGAGAATGAAACTCACTTTGAACGGGAGCCCCTGCCTGTGCTGGGAAAGATCCCCCTGTCCTGGGCCATGTGGAGGGAGGACCTTTCCCCTTTTGCCCTCCCCATGGCAGTCTCCTTTCCCTCACCACCTGCCCTGTCCTGCCAGGCCAGGAGTACCGGATGTACAACACCTACGATGTCCATTTCTACGCCTCCTTCGCTCTCATCATGCTGTGGCCCAAGCTGCAGATCAGCCTGCAGTATGACATTGGTGAGTGTCCCCAGAGCCCTGCCTTGGTGCCTGCTCAGGACTTCCCCTCGGGAAGAGATGGAGCCTTTGGGACAGCTGCTGCTGCAGAGATGTGTGCCGTGGAGCCAGCATCCCCCTCCAGCTGCTCTGCTGTGCCCAAGACTTGCAGCCCTGGAATGCAGCTGCCCCAGCAGCTCTGTGCCCAGCACTGGGGCTGCCTTCTTGCCATGCTGGGGGTGCACAGCTGGCTCTGCCTGCCCTGCGGGAGCCCCTGGTCTTCCCAGCTCTGTCCTTACTCCTTGCAGAGGGGACAGCAGAGGAGTCTGCAGACTCCCAGTGGGACATGGGCCACAGGCCATCACTCCAGGCTGAGCAGGGTCCTGCTGGCCTGCACCAGGTGGGGTCTCAAGGGGCACCATGTGGTGGGTGGGCTGACAAGAGGAGCCCAAGGCATGGAGGGTCACAGCAGGGGTCATACAATGGCCTTCAGGGATAGTGGCAAGAGAGGCCAGTGGTGAGGAAAGGGAACAGAGGCACTGATGTGTGAAAGAGAGGGGATCCTGTGTGTTTGCAGAAAAGTTTTATTGGGAGAAGCAGGTGCTGAAGTAGGAGGAAGGGCTACAACCTGGCACTACCCCTTCTCTGGGAGCTCCAGTGCTACCACCCTCAATCCATTAACTTTTCCAGGCGTTTGAATATGTTGTAGCCAACCCTGAGAGGACGCAGACAAAGATGTAAGGGTGGGAGTGGCCCAATGCTTGCCCAGCTCTGTATCCTTCCAAAACATTTGCACCTTGTCAGGATGCCCAGGGAAGCTGTGCACAAGCATCTTGTCCTCCCTCACTTGCACAATGGCAGCAGCTCTGCCAAGTGCTGAGCACCACAGGCTGGGAGCACCACCCCTCATCCCCATCCTCGGGCCACTCAGGATTTCTTCTTAAGTCTTTGGCTTTGGAAATGTCTCTCAGGAGGTGAAGCTTCCCTTGAGCTGCCACAGACACTTTGCACACCAAGTCCTTCTGTTGCCTTGTCAAGGAAACCAATACTTCAAAAGCCTTTGGGTATTACTTGCCTAAATCACGGCTCATGTGGAACAATGTTATCATTACTGGAACTGTGAAAAATTCCTGTAATTACCATCTCACACTACATCTAGGATGAAGACTGACTGATGACTAAAGTCAACCATCCCATGACTTTCCCACAGCATGCCTAAGTGAGGCCCCTCTAGCTCTCCTGGACCACTGCCGGGGCTGTGCCATCCTGCCAAGTGCATGGCTGACGGGGTGTGAACAGCCCGTAGCAAGTGCAGTATGACTGCTGCCAGCCTGGATCTACAATTAAGTCTCAGCTGTAATTGTGGTAAACCCTCCCAAATCACCTTATAAATGTTAAATTAGTCAATAGTTAAGTGCTGCCACATCCTTTAGACAGAAACCATTGAGCAGGTCTGAGACTTAGAGCAGAATCAGCCCTAGCTCCGATCCATCAGTAGTTTAGAAAGCAGTGGGTACCTCCCTGAAATTTATGATTAATTTAAAGGGTATCACTTCTCCTTTTCCATCTCCAGCCTCCATGTAAATCATTCTAAATTGATTCTAACCCATTTTTTCCTCCTTATGTTTTACCCCTGCACAAAGCAATCAAGTGAACTTTGGAGCTTTGCTAAGTCCTGCTGTTGCAAACAGGTATTAAACCTCCTTTTGCCCACAGGGCACCTGTGCAGTGCAGGGACGGGGGGCTCACCTGGTGGCTTTCCAGTTGTCTCTTCATTTCTCTGCATCTGACCTCAGCAGCCAAATGGCCATCAAAACTTCTTGGTTCTTTTCCACAAAGCACTGGCCTGTGAAAACAGCAATAGTGTCTGTGGGGACAAGACAGGAGGTGGAGGGGAGCATGGCCAAGGTGGCAGGTTACTGGCTGGCCCAGCACAGGGAACAGTAGACCCCTGCTGTCCCCAGCCTCTGGGGACAGAGGGGATGGGGAAAGCAGGCAGGAGGACTCAGAGGGCTGGGGTGTCACACTGAGATGGGCAGACAGTGCAGGCTTCAGCCCCTGCTGCCTCTCCTGCACCCTGAGACTGGGAGCTGACAGCAATCAAGGGACAAGGATGGGGGAGCTCCAGGGAGAGGAGAGGGAGAGCAGTGGGGATAGTGCAGGGTAAGGCAGAGAATCTGCAGGGGAGGACCGAAGGGAGGTCTGGGGACACAATCAGGATGCTAAGAAAAGACTGAATACCTGTAAAGTTCCAGTGGACAGTGAAACTAAATGTGGGCTGGTTCAGCTGGCTTGGGTGGTGCTGGGACCCCTGTAGTGTGATTCCTTGATCTTTAATGGGGAGTCTGACACAGCCGTGAAGTACTTGCCGGTGAAGTCACCATTTTCCTTTACTTCATAAATAGTCATGTTGGAGCCCAGGTCATTCTTCCGTTGCCCAGTCAGGTTACGCTGGAGAGGATAGAACTCAGAACTTGTGCCGCAGCACAGCCTGCAGCCACAGCCCCCTGCCCTCCCCACCCTCTGCATCCCACCCTCACAATACCTTTTCTTTCACAGAGAGGCTGTGAGCCCATAGGGCCAGGAGAGCACAAGGAGGAAGGGAGTTGCTTTCACCATCTCTCTGCAGCAGGCGGACAGCTGATGTACCTGGAGATGTGTTCCTTGCAGGTGTCTGCTGACACTCCTGCTTCCTCTCCTTTTTATTGCTGCCAGATGGGTGGGTGGCAGCTCTGGCCAGGACATTGTGCAATCTGTGTGTTTCCAAATCTATCAGCTATCAGGGGGCTGGTGACAACTGATATTCCCAGAATGCCTTTGTTCCAAGATAAATGCAGGCGAATAGCCCAGGTGAGATGCTCCAGTGCTGTGGTGCCACAGTACCCCTCCAGCCTCCCTCAGTGACCCCAAGGGAAAGCTACTTTGCATCTTTGTCCCCCTTCATTTGCTGTGGGCTCTGACATAGCAAGATACCAGCAGGTGCAGGGGGGCCACATATGGGAGCTTGCTCTTTCCAGGTTACATTATTCCTCTGCCCAGAAATTCTCCCCTGTGAGCAAAAAAAAAAAAGGCATCCGTAACCCACTAGAAGCACTGGGGCACTGTAATGATCTGCTGAAGAATTTTCATAGAGGAGAGGACAGGCTACTTCTTATCTGCCAGCCCTGATAGCTACTGAGTATTAAGGATGCACTTTGGCACAAAGGAAGTCCTGTCATGGCCACTAGTGGTATCCCCAGAACTCCTCCACCCTTTCTGTGGCATCTCAGAGAACCAACCTTACCTGTGGTGCCCTCCAAGCTCCCACACTCTGCCTGTAGTATCTTTAATGCTCTTCTCACCTGCTGCCCTGGCTGTGCTCCCTGCCACCTCCCACAGTACCTCTCCCAGACTCCATCTGACTGTCCAGAGGGATCAGGCTCTCCTACCTTATGGGTGTCCCTTGGCAGGAGGCTCAGCACCCTCTGATATAAAAGGAGCAGAGCTTGGGCACTACACACGGCCACCAACACCATGGGCACCCCAGGCTGCTGCTGCTGCTCACCCTGGCCCTGCTCGTGGCCCGTGATGCTGCATCCAGGGTGGTGAGGGCAGCCCTGGGGCAGTCTGGCCGTGCCAAGCCGTTTTTCTATGCCATGCTCTGCCACCCCAGCACACAGAGTTTTGTGCCTGAGGAGCTGCATGTTCTGGGTGTACTGTCCTATACCACGCTGTGCCATGCCACAGTGCAGTGTCCATGACCAAGGAGGCTGCCAGCTCTGGCTGTGCTTCCCTGGGGCTACTGTTGGTCACCTATCCCTGCTATAGTGGGGTACCCAGTATCCCCAGCTCTGTTGCCCTGCCCAGAGACTGAGGGTTGCTTTCCTGACATGCTTGTCACAGCTGCCAGGGCAAGGGGCTGTGCCATGGGACACACATCCCCCTGCTTAGCAAGGCTGAAAGTGGCACTGTGCCTCGGTACTGACTGAACCACCCACACAAGCCCTAGGGTCACCTGCAGGGCCTGTGGAGAAATGAGCTGGGCTCTTACATTACCCCCTTGTCCCCAGCTGGGACCTTCTTGCGCTCCTGCCGCAGCGCAGCGGCAGCCACCAACAAGCAGATCGCGGTGTCACCCTTGGAAGGAGCCCAGCAGCCAAAAGCTGCCCCACCTTCAGCTTCACTGTCCAGTGGCAGTTCTCAGGTGCAGCAGTGCCAGCAAGCCCCTGCCCATGCTGGGAGGGGGCAGTCCCCTGGCTGGCACCCCCAGACCCTCGTGGCATGCAGAGGAGCCCTAGCTGTGGGCACAGAACAGGCCCACACATCTGCTCCTGCCTTGGGAGATGGAGGAGATGTGGGGGTGTCTCTGGGACAGGGCCACAGGCAGAATGGGAGCTTAGATAACGTTCATTAAATAAGCCCTCCCACAGAATCACAACGTTCAGAAAGCACTTTCCTGCATTCTAGAGTCCTGCCCAGAGAAGAGTTTCGGCACAGCTGGATCCAACTTAGCCCTAGATTTTGTCAAAGGATTATGTCTAAAGGATCATACAGGTGTAATAGATACTTTGTACAACAAAATACCACAGCACTGGGGATGACAAATCAGATATAAATATATAAAACCAATTAATTTATTATGATAATTAGACATAATTAGACAAAAATACCTTTATAAGAATTATTTACTACAGATTAGAAGCTATAACAATTTCTATAGTATGATGTGCTATTTTGAAGCAGTATTCATTATACTAAAGCTAGCAAAACTAATTACAATGTAGACTCTGAAATTACCCATACCAGTAATTGTGGGCAAATCTCTGTGGTTCAGCCTCAAGAAGTGGGCATCCCCATGCAAGGGAGGAATTTCTGGGAAGGAGGGTTTTAGAAGACCCTGCCCTTAGAAACTGGGGGCAAGCTTTTACAGTATAATGTGACTGACTATCAGCAGGATGTCAGCTGTGGCAGCTCAGCAGCTTTAGATACCTTATCAATAGTATTATTTGCTGGTTTCTGGTTTCCTTTCTTTGGTTCTTTACTAGTTCTATCACACCTACACATTGCTATTCAGGATGTTGAACTTTAGGGACTGACAAGTCTGACTCATTTCAGCATTATGCAACACCAAAAGCAGCCTGACACCCCTTTCTCCATTCACCACTGCAAGTAGGGAGATGCAAATATTTGCAAATAGGGAATTGTTCAAATTATTTCCCACCCACTGCAGGACACAGAATCCTGATACAGAAAGAGGACTGGGGTGTCCCTCTGTCTGAGGGATATAGGATCTATCTGTCCAGGAGATCTATGTTTCTGTGGGCACAACAGGAGCTCCCTCCTTTCGATCCCTCCCACACCAGAATTGCACACCCTTCAAATGCTGTAGTGGCAGAGAAAGGGAAAGGAAGCAAGGTGCCCAGACCTGGGCAGAAGGGGACTCAATGTAGTTAAGGGCCTGCAGCCCTGCCCACAGAGACCTTCTCAAGAGGAACACTCTCAGGTCTGCTGCCTGCAAGACACGGCAGAGCCAGAAGCTAAGCAAGAAGCAGGTCTTACCTGCTGCTATAAGTGAGTAAGAATGCTCATCCTGCTCCCTTCAGCAAAACTCCACAGGAGCCAGCCACCACTGGGACTTGTCCCCTCCCTTCCTCCCTAGCCCTTCAGCCTAGTCCAGGAAGATACAGGGGAATTGCACGAGTTTCCTCTTCCAGTTTGGACCTGTGCCAAAGAAGACACCAAAGAAGAACAGGAGTAGACAGTTGGACAGATTTATTAAGAACTGAAGTGATTTATCCCCTTTAATGTGCTCCACTGCCTGCCCCCGGCACCAGCAGGGAGGGGGCCATGGTACCAGACCAGGACCTGCTTCTTGGGCTCAGATTGTCACTGTCCGGAGAGCCGGGTCTCCCCTGGGGATTGTATCTGCCACAGGTCCTCCTGGGGCAGAGCCAGTCAGTATGTGCAGTGTCACCCCGGGACAGCTACAGCATCCATGTGCCTGAGTGCACCACTCCAATATCCTCACACACACACATTCACCCACACCTTTTTTTTTCCCTGCAGGACAGCTGCCCACCTTAGCCAGCCCAATACTGCAGGAGAGAGCTTTCCTGTACCCCTGGGCAAGGTATCAGCTGCAGTTTGGGATGGCTGGGGAACCCGCAGGCTTTCAGAGCCCTGAGCGATGGGGAAGGGGATGCACAGGCTCCAGCAGCAACTCCTTAAGCCACCGTGCTCTGAGGAGACATCCCCCACACCTCTGGTCCCCCCTGTGCTCAGCATCAGTGGCTGGAAGTCCCCTGAGCTCAAGGGCACGTAGTGGAGGTAGGGAAGGAAAACAGCAATGTGAGTACTAGCACAGAGAGGGGAGGGTCCCTGCCTGCCATCTGCACCCCCCAGCCCGTGGTGCAGCCAGTGCCCTGCCCAGTGCCACAAGGCTCAAGGGTGGGTGTAGCTCTGGGGGAGCTGTGCGGGTGCGGGTGCCTGGCCAGCCCGGCGCTCCAGGGCCAGCTGCATGCTCCAGATGCTGAGGGGCCGCATGTAGGCCAGTGAGCGGTACACCTTCTTCTCCCGATAGGCCTCAGGTGTCTGGAAAGCCATGCCCAGCCGTTCCCACACCGTCCGGTAGCAGCCCTCTGCCGTACGGAAGCCTTCCTCCACCATGCCCTGCATGAGAGGGAACAGGACCATCAGCACGTCCAAGGAGAACACACTGGTGAGTGCGGCAGCAGCATTCCTGCTCACCTCCTGGATCATGGTGGCAGCC